GAAAGCCACGTTTTACTCATAGAACAGTAAAAGCAGCTATTTTGCCTGTCATTGTTTTATCTGTAAAATGAATCTTACTGCCTCCTGGATCAAGGTCCACTTAACTCACGACTGAGAGTGATGTTGAATGGCTACAACTCTGCAACAGCACAATGTGAAACAACAGGGAAAATGAATCTTGTAGGCTTATAGGTATTTCCACAACCACGATTCTTTAGTTTATGAGAGATTACTATAATCCATGACACAACTAGCCTGTCCATTAGTCTGCGTAAATGTGTGAAATGTGTCTGTGAGCTTGTCTGCTGCCATGTGTTCTGTTGGATCAATGCTTTTTCTACAGTCACTGACCTGGAAAAAGCTGAAAAAGCTTTGTCTGCTCAGCTATCGATAGATGGTCTGATTAAGAGCAGCGCTCTCTGTGTTAGCACTGCTCAATCAACAAAGACACTTGGTAGGATTTTTTGGAGGATATTTCCTCTTATTAAACTGACATTCGAAGCTTCTGAACAATTGCTGTGATATCTTGTGTCTTTATTTCTAACCCAAGACCGTGGAAGTCCTTCGCGTTGCATAGCAGGTCGGTTATCCTGGCATTGAAGGAGGCCATCTGTTCAGCCTAGAGTGAAATGTATTGGACCACTTTTAGGTCAGGCTTTGCACAATTGTGAATCTGGATTGGGGCAGAACTCTTTAAAATCTGAGCAATCCCCCCAACTATGTGTGGTTTGCCGTTTGCCGCGTTCGGGGAAAGGACATGTCCGTGCCCGGGACATTTGGGCCTATGGACGCCACAGCTAGCCCGGCCTGCTTCCTCTCCCAGAAAGGCACCGGACGGCCGCCGTCCCCCAAATCTCTGGCTTCCCCTGGCCCGCTGTGCACTGGTGATCACATCTGGCTGAGGGAGCTGATGGGCCTGTCGTCCTATCAGTCGTCTCCCAGTCAGCCGTCCAGCCCCAGCGTCCCCGGCAGCAGCCCGGGGGGCAGCGGGAGCAGTAGCAGCGAGGGCACGGGCAGCCTGCACAGCTGGACCTCCGGAGGCACCCGCCTCCTGCACAGATCCATCAAGCAGCAAAGCCGGCGAGCTTTTCAGGCTCAGCTCCGGGAGGAACCAGGGTGGGGGAGAGTGGGAGCGCGTCCCTCCAGAGGCACTCACGAAATTGCTCATCCAGGGGTAGAGCGGGGAGGGGGCGGCCGTCATAAAGAGCCCCGGCAGCAGGGGAGGGGCTCTTCACGAATCGGCGTAAAGAGCGTCAAACTACAGTGGGCGCTGGAGGAAAGAGTCAAGGCCAAAGTCAAGTTTTCACAGTTCTTGGATGAGGTCACCTCCAACGTGCTGGACCCACACAGCCTAGAGGCTTTTGGAAAACCAGCATCTCCCTCTGGCTCCATCAGCACAAACTCAGAGCAGCCCGAAGACCAAATCCGAGTGCCGAGCCTCAGGCTGCCCCGCTCGATGTCCAAGCTGCACAGTTTTCTGCCAGAACAGACGACTCGGGAAGAGAAGACCTCCCCTGACGTGCCGCTTAAAACCTATCTGGAGACGGACATCGACTCCGTCAGGAGGAATGTTGAGCCGCGGGACCCGGGGAGCGAAGCCGAGATGCCACAGCAGCAGGCGATAGTCGAGAAATACGTGATCCCACCTCCTCCACAATTCTGCCAAGGATACGAGTCGAGCAGTGCTTCGCCCGTGCTTTGTTACGACTTCCCCAGATACCCCCACAGATCTGCCTCTCTGCCCAGGGGCATCAACATGGTGAGTGATTAAAATCATCCCAGTCTTTAATCAAAGCAGGCCTGTGAACATATGCCGTTACTGGAGTGGAAATTGTTTCTCGCAGAGTCTGAAGTGATATCTGAATTAATTGATCCTTTGAAGAAGCCTTTTTCTTCTAGTTTATACAGCCGTATAAAGAGAAGAAAAACGGGCAAGTCATTCTTTTAGAACTTCTTTGTCAAATGCAGTCTGTGGGTTTGTGTGTTAATCCAACCATCAGTGACATGTACAGAAAAGTAACACAAGTACAGAGTCAAAACAATCATTTACACACAAATTTACACATAACGACACCAGACAAATACACAAGGATGCATTATAGCTTTACAATGCTACTGTCAATATTAGCTTATTATATATACGATTAAAACCATCTTGTTGAAGCTAAAAACAGAGCTTGTGACTGGGGTGAGAATCAAACAAACTTTAATCGCAACAGCCAACGGCTGTGATGTTTCATGGGTCAGAAGACCTTGAACCTTGAGTTTTGGAGTTAGAGAGCTTTGCAGATTAGATACGCATAGATGGTTCAGTCACAAACGTACTACTGTTAAAACCTTTTTTAAGGTTAAGGTTTTTAAAATGCACCAACAGATTTGGTCGATTTAGAAAAGATAAAAGAAAACGGATGGAGATATGATGTTTCTACTCCTCTTATAGACAAAAGCCTGAATTTCTCTGCTTCTGTCTGGCTGATTTCAGCTAATGGGGCCATTTTGACATATTTTCATAAGAAGCCTGCTCCTTTTTCACAAAGCTTTTCTCAGATTGCCCTTTGTATTACCGAGGGTTTACTCATTACCTGACATGCTGATGCCCTGAAAAATGTCTTTCTTTTTTCTGCCACTTCAGCTGACCCGGCTCACTAACAAATAGTCAAGTTGTTTCAAATTTGAGCTAAAAGTCAGCACCTCTTAAATTACATAAAGCCCAAATCCCTAATTGGGTTTGGTTTTCTCAAGGCAATAATTGTAATTGTTATCTTAGTTCAGTGACATCTAGAAACTTTGGTGTGATGTTTTACTTTTAATTAGGTTTTAATAGACACAGATTAAGACAATACAATTTAAAAGCTTTTTGGAAGAACAGGAATGTTTATATGCTTTTATGTACCCTGATCAGGTGGTTGGATGAAAAGTTTCAAAAGATTTTTTAAAATATAATAATTCCAAACCAGCTCCGAGCTACGTATTAGTGACCAAGACCACCACTCAGACCAATCCTGTTGCCTACAATATCAATTGTATAAGAAATTTAGCGCATTTTACATGAAAAGAGTTCCAAAAAATGATCCTCTGTGCCAAAGATTTCCTCCTTTTCCTGCAATCTTACCGAAACCAAGTAGCTCCACCACACTGATGTGATTTGTTAAAATCCAGCTGATAATATACGATGTTTAATAGATGGAGCTTATCTGTTTCACATAAAGCTAACTCTGATTGCACTACACGCAGGTGTCGAGTTTGTTTTGTTCGTTGCAAAAAAATCTGAACAAGAAATTGTTTTTGTACATACACAAACTGGAGTTCATATTAAAAGGTTCATTTCACACGGGCGTCCTCAGCTCAGGTAGATGATGTGGGGAGTCTGGAAAACAAGACACTGCTGGGTGTTGTTCATTCAGCAGGCCTTTGACGGGAGAGCTCATTAGGATTCTGCCCATCACCATCCCCTCCGCACAAACAACTTGAAGTTAACAATGCAGTCATTTACCGACTGGGCCCGCTCGCTCACGTTTGTTTTGTGGAACCTGGCCGAAATGGCCGCGGGAGCGGGGGAAAGTCTTTCGGCGACCGTTTTTTTTTTTTCAGGGAAAAAGGGGGCCGCGGTTTCCTCTGTCTCACAGCAGCAGCGTGCGGTTTTAGACACAGGCGAGCCGGAGGGCTCAGTCGGCGGTTACTGCATTAACAGCGAGTCGATCTGCCCTCTCAGCACGACATTAGGCCGGAACTGATTGTCCATTTGGCTTTGGTCACCTCGCCCCAAAAATTCGCACAACCCCACTCGTCGGCGAGAAGCTACGTGTGTCATTTAACTGCATCGCTCTCCAGACAATGCCTCTCTCAAAAAGGTTAACCTGATTTACAGTCTCTCCGCGGTCCCCCCCTCTAAAAAAAACCTAAACATACCTGACATATCCTCAAAATTGGCTCGGCTTCCATTTAATATTAAAGGAGATCACATTGCCTTAATTTATTGTCTGATTAAAATTCAGCCTTTGCCGTCACCTTAGCAACTGCTTGGAAAAAAGGTGGGTGGTGTGGGGGCTGTGAGGCAGGCTTGCGAGCCTGTTGGTGTTCATCTCGCCGCGGTGTGTGAGTCCGTAAAGTTTCGTGCATTGACAGAAGTCCTTGTACGTGTTCAAACGCATTAACAAAATATCCTCCACAGGCACTCCACCTTCTGTCGTGCTCGAGACACAAGCTAAATTCATTTGGCAACCCCCCCCCCCCCCCGGCTTGAAGCCGGTATATGGGCTTGTTTTCCAGCCGGGCCCTGCGAGAGAAACATTCTCAGTTTTTTTCCTGTTTACCTTCCATTTACTGATCCAACGAGAGACTATTGTCCACCCCGAATAGGGGAACGTGATGTCATAGAGGCCAGACGGGATCAGGCATGAGCTTTAAAACTGATTGAGAGTTCTTAGCTGATATTTACAACTTGATGCATCTCGTGATCCTTTCAGAGAAAGCATCAGGAGATTTGTCGAAAACGTATTCCTCGTAACAACTTGGGATTTGATATGTAAGATTCAACAGATTGATCCACCTGTTTCCCCCCCCACCCATCCTTTCTCCTTTCTCCTTCTGATTCTTTGTTTTTTTTCTCCACATCCTGCTTCCCTCTCTTTGTATCTGTCCTTGCTCCCTCTCTGCGATTCAGCACCTCAACGGGGGGATACTGAGCTGCTGCCAGCATATCCCTCTTGGGGGGGCTCGCCAATGCATCTGCAGTCTGGCTGCATTGGAGGTTCCCACTCTCCCTCCCTTCCCCTTCTTTCCTCCCGCTCTCCTCTCACTCGCCCCTCTCACACTTTTGCCATGATACGATTATTCGCTTCTCACCTCCAGCGAGCGCAGATGTAGACATCCGGCTGCAGTCTGATGGGTTTTTCTCACGATCGGGAGTGGAAGGGGAAATAGGGGAGGAAACAGATGAGGCAGGCGGGAGAGAAGGGAGGCAGGGGTGGGGTGGGGGTGTGGGGGGGGGGGGGGGGGTGCACAAACAAAAACAAAGGGAGGCAAAAAGAATGTGCCCACTGAATATGTATGTTTGGTCTCTCGTTTGGAGGAGTGTGTTCTGCCCTACTTGGCAGCCTCTGGACCAGTTTGATTAGTCCCCCCCCCCCCACACTAACATCCTGTCATTTCCTTTAGCTGCCTGACGAGGAGATGAACAGCATAGACGCTATCAGGTAAGCTTCTCCCTCCATCTCTCTCTCTCTCTCTCTGTCTCTCTCCCTCCCTCTGTTCCGCTCGTATCTTTCCGCGCTCCATCATCACGCCCCCGCGTTCTCCCTGTCATCTTCCTTTGAGCTCCTTCCCTCCCACTCTTCCTCTCCGTCTTTCTACTCTCTTGCACAGTCTTTCTGCCTCACTCTCTACCCCCCCGGCACATGCACGTCCCACCTCCTCCACGGCTGCCAACGGCCACCACCAACACCACCACGCTGCTCCAGCATCAGCAGCTGAGCCA